GACCTGGGAACAACAGAGAGAAATTTTCCAACAGGGATGAAACACAAGTTCGCTCCAGCCACAAAATGGCAATTACACGGCTCGGAAAACGATAAAACGAGACTCCGTACTTAAAGGATTTTACCACAGCTACACAACGATATACACGTTTATGAAATCGAGAGTTCCAATCACTTCCGAAAATCCACGAATAAACAAAATATATACACATAACAATTAAATGAACTAAAAGTAATCCGACTACAAATCAACTTTCGGTAGACCGAACATATAATACATATAACATGCGATAAATAGAAACGACCGAAAATAAAGAGAGGATTCGAATGAGTTACCCGACTTTGGGAAACTACGAGTTATCGGATGGGAAACGAGTCAAACAACGGGACAGCGGGACGGACGAACGGTTTTGGACTCGAACTGCTCGAACGGGACTGAAGCTGCTGGTTCTCAACGGCACGACGGCTCTGCTTTGTGGACGTCGACGACGAACGTGAGTATACCAGCGTATGAACAGGGCTGCCGGAGGGGAAGGTCTCGCCGAGCAGATTCTTAGCTAGAGAAAAGAAGGAGATTGAGGGGGAGGGATTTCTCTGCTTGAGAATTTTACGAACTCTAGAATAATATAGCGAGAGGGAGATCGATATGCAGCTGCGGAGTTTAATATTAAGAGAGGATAAAATTTGAATGAAAAAGAGAAGAGAGTAATGTGAAGGAGGACAGTGAAGAGCTTTTTAACATATTACAAAAAATCTGTAACTCCTTCCCATAATCTCACTTTTAATGCAAAATAAATGAGAATAAAAAGGCTGATATGATGGGGGTTTTAAAATTAAAACTCCATTCAACTTAAATAATTCAATTGTCATGTATGTAAGTGAAATGGAGGGGCGGCATTTTGGCCGAAAAAATTTTGTCAAATGGATTATAATTGCCATAGAATTATTTGGGAATTTCAAAGTAATCTTGCCATTGATAACTATGGATCGGGCTGGTTTATGAGGCTCAAATGAATTGAGATTTAACGGACAAATGTGCCGGCAAATAATACTCCAAAGCTCGATCAAAGGTTCGGAAAAATAACGAGAACGGGACGAAAATAATATTACGCGATTACTCCGAAATTACTAACGACAAACAATAAATACAATCGAACGAGCTATATTATTATATTATTTCTTAATGATATAATTTAATCACATTAAATCATTTGGGCAATTAGACTTTAAATATAAATACACATAATAATAACAATAGTAATAGTAATTATAACAACAACAACAATAATAATAATAATAATAATAATAATAATAATAATAATAATAATAATAATAATAATAATAATAATAATAATAATAATCCAATTTATTCATAAACGATCGGGGCGTTACATTTAGGGACCTAAAGGAGGTGCTAAATATGAGCTTATTCTTTTAGGTTTAGGAATCCTTATTATCTTCCATCTCCTTTTCTCATCTACGATAATATTTCTAACAATTAATTACCTTCTAGAAGACTCCATAGTCTCCTAACCTTAACCCTAGGTAATATTCTAGAAGGAATATTCATATCCTTAGGGAATTATGGAATATAATTAATTCCTAATTTAGGAAACCTAATTCTACTCCAATTAATAATCTAATGTAGGAAATATATCTCCTACTAATCTTCATCTTCT